GTCCTTTGTCACAGAAGTGATGCAAGGACAATGAGTTCCTGTTTGAGGTGCATGTGTGGGGATTTCAACATCCGTAGCAACCCCCAAGCTTCATGTGTGTACAACTGTGGACTGAGATGCTCAGGTTTAAACCAGAGACCGAAAGTCACAGACGCCGCTGTGAACGCCAGTCGGTGACAGGCACTTCTGGGTCTACGAGATAATGTGTTCAGGCGCTCGGGGAAAAGATGGGGCGGAAGGGACCTGGGCGGGGTATGAATAGTGGCCTGACCTAAAATGAGACTGCGGGAGGCCGAGGCAGGGCCAGAGCTCGGTCTACATAACATAAAATTTCATATTACCCAAATTACCAACATAAAATTTTAACCATTTTGAAGTGTATAGTTCAGTGGCATCAGGTGCATTCACACGGTTGTGCCACCATCATCACTGTCATCTCCAGGACTCTTCCCATCGTCCCAGGCTGACACTCTGTCCCCAGGAAACACTCCCTCCCGCCCCCTCCCCCAGCCCCGGCACCACCAGCTACTTCCTGTCTCTGTGACTCTGACTCCTCTGGGGACCTCGTGTGAGTGGGTCACACAGGATGTCTTCGACGCTCATCCACATTGCAGCAGGTGTCAGAATGTCCTTTTTAAAGTTGAATAACACTCCACTGTGTGGACGGGCGTCTTGTGTACCCATTCCTCTGTCCATGGACGCTCGGGTCGCCTCCACCCTTGGCTGTTGTACTGCTGCTGTGAATGTGGGTGTCCAATATCCCTTCGAGTCCCTGCTTTCGGTCTTTTGGGTGTATTCCCCGAAGTGGAATTGCTGGGTCACAGGGTAATTCCATACTCAGCTTCTGAGGAGCCTCCAAACTGAGTCCCACGGCAGCTGCCCCACTTTACCTTCCAGCTAACAGTGCCCACGGTTCCGATTTGCCCCCATTTCTGCCAGCACCTGTTTCCTGTTTTTTGACAACCACCATTCCTGCCAGGTGGGAGGTGGTGTCTGACTGCCGTCCCACGGAGGGTTTTCAGCCAAGGGCTGCTGTGATCACATTGTATTCCTAAGGTCACTCTGGCTGTTCAGTGGAAGCAGGAACCCCAGTAGGGAGGAGGCTGCTCCCAAATCCAGGAGAGGGGAGGACAGCGGCTGCGTGATGAGAAGTGCTGGGGTCTGCACAGAGTTCGAAGGTCGAATTGAATCAGCCAGTCTGCTGATACTTTATGAGGGCCATGAAAGACCAACGTCATGGATTATTTTTAGGATTCTGACCGAGCAATGGGTGAATGGTGTTGTCACTTACCGGGACGGAAATGAAAGGTTTAACTTGGGGCATGTTTACCTTGAGTGGAAGGAGTTTTCGGCATCTTCTCGATCTTATTTCCTTTCTTGATATACTTTGAAGCGATATGCAAAGGTGGAAAGACTCGTAACTTTACATCATTGCTGGTTGCCCCTCACCCTTTATCAATGAAAGGTCTTTTTGATGCTTCCAGTGATTTCGCTTGAATTTTATTTCTTTGACATGTGCTGGCTTTGTTCTCATGTCCTGGCAGAGCCACCTTATTTTCAATGTTCTTGTGTAGTTTTACGTCACATACATCCCACTTATTGCTGTTTTCCCATTGGGCACCCTTAAGGTATTTAAAACAATTTTTTAAAGTTTCACGCACATGGTACAAAATGGGGGAAGTCGCAAAGGTTGCAAGCTGTTCTGCCTTGCGTTCCTTCAGACTCCACTGTCCACATACTCAGAGCATCACACAAAGGCTTACTGCCTTGAAAGAGTCCTGGCTTATCCACCCAGCTGCCACCGCCCCCCCTGAAGTTCTCTGAGAAGGGGAGGGACATCTGTCTGTGTGCTTAGCCTGCACGTCAGTGGGTGGGACTGTCACACCAGCTGCACTGTGCCAGGGGAATCGCTAACGAAAACACAATGCCAGCAGCTTTTGCTAACATTTCCAAATCTATGGAAAGAATTATATTTGTCTTCAGGCCAGAGAAAATTAAAAATATATGATGACTGAGGAAACCAGCGAAGCAGTGTTTGACACCTGCAGTGGCGTTCTGCTGAACCTTACTCTGAAATACAGCAGTGACTGCTGGAATGGTGCCTTTCTCCTGCCTGCATTACCTGGGGCAGGTGAGGAGGGTCTGGGCCAGTATCTTGTGCTGAGTGAACAGAACCTCACGGGCTCAGGGTGCGTCCGCACGGTGCACTGGCCTGATATCCTTAAATCAGGAACACACACCAAAACTGATTTTTTTCCTGTCAGTATCTAGAGTCACTTTATGTCCATATTTTCCATAATTTCACTTCCTTTCTCACCCCTACCTCTAAACCGCTCCCTTTCAGAGATCATCTGAGATGTTTTGTCCCATATTGTTATTAATTTTTAAAATTCTGTAATGACACTAAGATTGGTTAGCTCCTTGGCTCACCAGTTTGGTTGTTTTTTGTGGATTCTGTGTTTATTCACCTCATAATCTTGGGTTCATTGTTTTAGGGAGGGCGTGTGGGTGATTAATTTTCTGTCTTTGCCTGTCACCAAATTATTTTTTCCCCAACATTTCAATCCCAGTTGGATTAGATATGAATGTTTGGTTCACTATAACCCTTCCTCTCATCTTTGTGGTTTTGGTTCCCATATTTTCTAGCAACTGTTTTGCAGGTAAGAATTCTGAGGAACCTCTTCATTATATAGAGTTGCTAGATTTAGGAAATAAAAGTGTGCACGATCGTTAGGGCATACTTATTCCAGTTACTGGCTGTATTTCTTTTTTTTTTTTCAATTTTTTTTTAAAGATTTTTTTTTATTGGGGAATTAGGGGGATAGGAACAGTGCTGGGGAATTGGGGGAAGGGGGACAGACAAGTTGCTGTCGTTTTGTTCTTCAGTCTAGTTGTGGAGGATGTTGCTTCACTGGCCCAAGTTGGCACCATCATTGCGCTCTTCCCGGGCAAGGC